GAACTGAGAGTTCTCACCACAACGAACCCCCACCTGTCTCCAATCTGATTTTGGACTACATACCAATCATACGATTCAGAGTACAACAAGGTGTCCAAGCAGGGACTTGCTAAAAAAAGGTAAAGGTTCCCCCCAACAATTTGTCCAGTCATGTCCGACTCTAGGCGGCGGTGCTCATCTCCGTTTCCAACCCATAGGGCTAGCGTTTGTCCGCAGACAATTTGCTATGGCAAATTATGCTATTGTTCTTCCCCTAGCCTAACTACATAGCAGAATATTCGCTAAGAAATTTATCTGTTTTTTCCCTCTTCTTGAACAAGCAGATTCTACAGAGCTTTAAAAACACGGCTAAGCTTCCTTATTCTGAACCAAATCATTTCTTTCACTGCCAGCAGACCTCTGGAATTTCACACAGGTTCCCCCACCCCAATTCTAACTGGAGATGCAAAGGACTGGAACTTAAACCTTCTGCAATACTCTGTCATCTGAAAAAGTGAGCTACAGTCCATGAAAGCTTATGCCAAATAGAATTTGTTAAGTTTTTAAGATATCACAGGAGGGTTGTTTTCACTGCAAAAAAAAAAAAAAAAAAAAACCTACAAACTAACATACTGCAGCTTTCCTCTGGAAATTTATGCTCAACAGAGGATCTGTAATGCAGGATATGGCCACAGCATCCCTGTCAGACAAATGTCCATATCTGCTGAAATGTAACCAGCCAAGGTATGTGACTTCAAACCTCACAGGATTCTAAGAATCCATTGTAGTCAACAGGTCTTCAGAAAAGCATTTGAAAGAGCAACATTTTAATTTAAAGTCATGCAGTGGTAACTTACTTGAATCAATGCTTCACTCAGTTTTTCTTCATCTACTTCCATAATAATATTTTTTATTTCCTCATAGGGCATGCGGAAAGATCCCAGAAAAATAGCTGAAACAAAACACCATAATTTGAGAGCCTATTGTCAAATAAAAACCATTATGATTTTGTATGATTAGAATAAATACTGAACTGAAATAGTTAATCAAATAATAGATTTAATTGATGCTGATCATGTTGTACACACTGAGAAACATATATATTTAAGTAAATATAGTTTAATTTATCCCTAAAAGCTGAAGTTTATGATGTCATTTGGGTTTGTTCAAGATAACATTGTGCAACAGGACTCTGGCCATCATGAAATAGGTAAGAGGAAAAGTTTTTTAAAAATGCATCCCTAAGCAACACGTACCACCATGTTATATATTTGCAGTAAAACAAGGATTCCCTAAGTCTTTGACCTTTCATGCCATCTGCAATTTGTTGCAATGAGTTTATTTTAAAAAAAAGACACTAAAATTTTAAAAGACCTGATGTGAAGGAAATCCAATTTGATTCTATGGTACAGAATTTTATTCAAGATCTAGGAGGAATGCTTTTAAACAAGCTGACTTCTTTCTACCCAAGCATAGATCATATTGATTAAAACCAGTGCCCCAATTATGATATTCTTCTTTACAGAGATATTTTTAAAGAAAATGTAGTGTCCAAAGAGGACTGAACTATGGGCCTTTGACATATGATTCGGACCTCTCAGAAATGATAAAGTACACAATTGCTTAAGACAAATTTTCACTTGCTTATTGGTTTATAAGCTATCACATTTCATACGAAATGTAATGAACCTTGCTGAATTAAAGGCAAAAAATAACCATCTCAGCATGCCAGTTCTCATAATAGCTGGCCAGATAGTTTCAGAAGTGAAGAAGCCGGATAGGAAAGATACAGTCTTTCATCAATAACCAATATTAACAAGAATATGTCCTTTAAACCCAGAAGCTGCATTTAGTTATCATGCAACCAGTTACTGTAACTACTGAGAACCACTAGGCTTAAAGGCCTAAAAGATTAAATACATTAAAAATTTGATACTTAGAGTATGGTCAAAAACACAAACAATGTGCAACTACTTTCTATGTATGGTAAAATGTACTGGTCATGATTTAATCCAGAATTTGTAGGAAGCTGTTTTATTAAAACCAGAACCCAATTTATATTTAATATAAGCAATGTCAACAGCTCATTGTACTTTTAATGGTTGAAATATTATTGCGTATCTCTGTGTACAATGGAGATGGCATTATCATTAGTGGCAAATCATTGCTGATTAAAGGCAAATCAATTCTGATCCAAGGCAATTTTGGGAGTCCTGTTACTCATACATGATGCAAATAAGTCATGTATACCCTCAAAATCCCCAAAGGAAGTGGTTATTTGCCACTCATAATGATGTCATCACTGTTACATAAAGAGAGCTGTGCAGTAGGATTTCAGCCGACATATCCCTGTATTTTTAATTTGCTCTGTCTTGTATAAATAGCAAGGTTAAATAATAACCCATTGTTCTCCATTCCTGGACTCCTTGAAAATCAAACTTAAGGAAGAGCAATTCCTAATGAGGGGAACATTTCTAGCATATGCTAACAGATGACTTCTATAACAGTAACTAGGGATGGGATTTTGACTTTTCTGGATACAAATAATACCACAATTCTACCTATCTTATAAGCACCTTACAAATCCCAAATGTGATGCACCTGGGAGACAGTCCTAAATTGGAAGGCTTTGAAGGTTAGCTAGGCCTAGTTCTGTCCATGCTTTCTGCTCAGAAGGAAAGCTGTCAGCTAGCTTCCAGGCAAAAACAGGAAGCGTGGGTGGAGCTAGGCCCAGCTAAGCCTTAAATCTTTCCTATTTAGGCTTCTCTCCCAGGTACGTGACATTCAGATTTTGTAAAGTGTTTTTAAGATAAGTAGAACTGCCAGAATGGAGAATCTGTTTTTCCGCCGTGGAAAGCTCAAGGATATTATTCATCATTCTCATCCTGTACTCAAGTTTGACAAAATAAAGTCAATAAGGTTGTTTTATTATGCAGCCTAAGGATTCTTCATCTTTATTTCATGTACTGCCTCAGTCCAGTCTTCATAGGATGGTATTAACAGTTAACAGTTCTTTCCTCAAATCAAATTCAAGAAGGTAGGAAAAAGGAAAGAAAGCTTCCATATTAGGATATATCACAATCCTTATTTCCCTTGGAACATGAAATGACTATTAACAGAAAATCTTTTTCAAAATTGTTGACATTGGACTTGATAAAGCATACAGTAAAATGAAAGAACATATTCCATACACAAATTCTGTGCTGTCTTCCCATCCAGCAATCTTAACTCTTTAGCTCTCTTCTTAGGCACTGTTCCCTTCTTTTCTTCTGTATCAACTGTCTTTTTAACTGCAAAACAAATAGAACATTTCTAAGAATTTAGCAGAAGCATACTTTCACACTCAAGTTATGTTTCAATCTTTAAAATGCTTTAATTGGTATTTCTTTGTTCTTGTTATTTTAAAAGTCAGAACATCTTTGGTTTTTCAGTGGGCTTAAAATCAAATACCATCAGATAAGCAAAGATCAAGCCTTATAGTGAACAACAAAACAAAATGACATTTCAACTTTGCTCTATAGTCAAAAATATGTCCTTTCTAAAACAAAGCTACTATTGTATAATGAACTATTCAACATCAGTCCAACAGGCATTATGTGATGATGATGATGAACTACCACCCTTTCCAATTTATTTAAGCCATTTTCAGCTGGTTGTCTCTAAATGAGCAAATACATTACCACAACTTTTATGTTCAGCACACTAGAGACTCCTACTGGTTCCGAACAAACAATATTGCTCTCTTAGTTATCCTAAGAACATGCAGATTAATTTAAAACACAGCCAAGGGAAGAGGGGTTCAGGTGGAAACAACAGAGTTAAATGCTTAACATATAAAATGATGATCTAAATTAAACCTGTTGATAAGCAACCAAGATATTGTTTTCAGTTAATTCTGTCATCCATTTTGTGCCTAGTAACATATTTGTTTATCAAAACTGGTGAGGAAAAGCTGATGCAACATGCTGTAAGAGATTGTTTTCCATTGAACGTTCATGTTACATGCTACATTTGGAGCTCAGAGGCAGCTCTATCCTTGGATTGCCTACACCTGTAAATTAATGTATCCCACTGAAAGGATAATTTTATTATGACAGCTGTTTCATGCCCACACAAGTAACAATAGCACTAGCCAAAATGAAGCATAAATGTAGAGGAAATCAAACACTGACAATTGTTCTCGTGACAAGGACGACACAAAAGATTGCCATAAAGGTTCAGAGACTTAATTAAGTAAAACTTCACTATTAGCTCATTCTAAAATCTGGAAACACATGGGTTTTGAAAATTAACAGCTGTACAATATCTAATGTACTCTCACACCTGATCATTAACTCAATTACTGAGCACCATTAAACATTACCTCTGCATGATTAAACTGTTCTAATGTTAAATCAAAGTAAAACATTGTACACCAAGATACAAGATACAGTCGAGGGTGACGTATGTTTGTTTGTTTGTTTACCCGGCCTCTCTCCTTAAAAGGACCCAAGTCGGCTTGTTCTTGAAATGCTAGCCAGAATAAAGAATTTCAGGAGTAATACTTCTCAACACAGCTGCTCCTGTCCAACAGCCTGTTCTGGATAATAATTTGAGATGCTGTGCAAAAATGTGAGATCTCTTCAGTTCTACCTTCTGTTGAGAAATTATTTATATAAAAACAATACCTGAACTTGAGTTTAAAACATTATTTGCCAACTTCCAATACCAATATAATCATTCACAGCAAAGAAACCAAAGACAGACCAATTTTGGGAATAACTCTCTAAGACTAATAATCCAGGTTATTTTGTACTAAAGAGACTGACACTTATTTTCACATTTACAGGCATCGCCACATGTGCATTCTGTGACCTGTGCTGCCCTGAAAACTACAATATATTTTGGATAACGTGTTATCTGTGTAAAGTAACATACTGGTTTGGAATTACCTTTGTGGGCTGAATGAACTCACACACAACAGTAGTTTAATCTATCAATCATTTGAAAACTCTGTGTTTCTCCTTATCAACCAATGCACTCTCTGGCATCAAGCCCTCAAACAATGATGCTGGTATCTATTTTTATGATGATAGAGAGATCCATCAGGGAAAACCATGATCACATCTTCCTTGGGCTACACAATAAACACCTCAGTTGATTTTACTTATTCCAAAAAGGCATACTAGACAAAATCCCCAATTCTCTCCTATTATATAACATAGGCTATTATGACAGACAGAAGGAGACCACTAAAAGCCAAGTCTGACGACCACTCTAAAAATTATGTGGGGTACTATCATGGTTGTTTACTGTTATTAACAATCTTTTCCTGATGTGGGAGCCCTCAATAGAATAAAGCAATAAAACACGGCTAACAACAAGGCCACTGGAGGTGATGGCATTCCAGATGAACTATTTATTATCTTAAAAGATGATGCTGTTAAGGTGCTACAGTCAATATGCCAGCAAGTTTGGAAAACTCGGCAGTGGCCAGAGGATTGGAAAAGATCAGTCTACATCCCAATCCCAAACAAGGGCAGTGCCAAAGAATGCTCCAACTACCGTACAATTGCACTCATTTCACACGCTAGCAAGGTTACGCTCAAAATCCTCCAAGGCAGGGTTCAGCAGTATGTGGACCGAGATCTCCAAGAAGTACAAGCTAGATTTCAAAGGGGCACAGGAAATCGAGACCAAATTACGAACATGTGCTGGATTATGGAGAAAGCCAGAGAGTTCCAGAAAAACATCTACTTCTGCTTCATTGACTACGCAAAAGTCTTTGACTATGTGGACCACAGCAAACTATGACAAGTTCTTAAAGAAATGTGAGTGCCTGACCACCTTAACCGTCTCCTGAGAAATCTACAGTGGTGTCTCGCTTAGCGATTGCTTCGTTTAACGATGTAATCACTTAATGATTAGTTTTCTGGAGCGATCTTACGGTCCGTTTAACGATGTTTCCTATGGGCGATTTTCGCATAGCAATGTTTGGGACCTTGCTTCGCATAGCGATGACAGTTTGGGTCCCCCTGTTTCGCTTCATGATGGTTTTGACAGCCTCGTGTTGGCTGTCTTTTAAATATTTAAAAGGTTTTTAAAAGGTTTAGAATGCTTGAAATCATAAGTGCACTTAATAAACCCTTTGTTAAACTAATTTGACTTTGTTCTGACTCTTTTTGAATTTGTTGTAATTTTTTTCCCCATTGAAATGCATTGAATAGGTTTCAATGCATTTCAATTGGGGAACCGTGTTTCGCTTAGCCATGTTTCCTACGGCGATTTTCGCTTAAGGACAGCAATCCGTTCCCATTGGAACGGATTATCCGGTGTTCAATGCATCTCTATGGGAAAACGTGTTTCGCTTAGCGATGTTTTCCCATAGCAATGTGTTTTTTTGCACCAATTAAAATCATTAAGCGAGGCACCACTGTATATGTGGGACAGAAAGCAACAGTTAGAACTGGATATGGAACAACTGAATGGTTCAAAATTGGGAAAGGGGAACGAGAAGGCTATATATTGTCCCCCGGCTTATTTAACTTATATGCAGAATACATCATGCGGAAGGCTGGACTGGAGGAATCCCAAGCCAGAATTAAGACTGCCAGAAGAAATATCAACAACCTCCGATATGCAGATGATCCCACTCTGATGGCAGAAAGTGAGGAGGAATTAAAGAACCTCTTAATGAGGGTGAAAGAGGAGGGCGCAAAAAACCGGTCTGAACCTCAACATCAAAAAAACCAAGATCATGGCCACTGGTCCCATTACCTCCTGGCAAACAGAAGGGGAAGATATGGAGGCAGTGACAGATTTTACTTTCTTGGGCTCCATGAGCACTGCAGATGGTGACAGCAGCCACAAAATTAAAAGACGCCTGCTTCTTGGGAGGAAAGCGATAACAAAGCTCGACAGCATCTTAAAAAGCAGACATCACCTTGCCAACAGAAGTCCAAACAGTCAAAGCTATGGTTTTTCCAGTAGCGATGTATGGAAGTCAGAACTAGACCATAAAGAAAGCTGACTGCCGAAGAACTGATGCTTTTGAATTGTGGTGCTGGAGGAGACTCTTGAGAGTCCCCTGGACTGCAAGGAGAACAAACCTATCCATTCTAAAAGAAATCAACTCTGAGTGCTCACAAACTGAGGCTCCAGTACTTTGGCCATCTCATGAGAAGAGAAGACTCCCTGGAAAAGCCCCTGATGTTGGGAAAATGTGAACGCAAGAGGAGAAGGGGACGACAGAGGATGAGATAGTTGGACAGTGTCATCAAAGCAACCACCATGAATTTGACCCAACTCTGGGATATATATTACTAATAGCTTCTGCCTTGAATTTTTGTGGTGCAGAGACACTAGAAATATTCCACTAGAACAAATCCACTCCCATTGATATTCTAGGGCCTGCTGTGCTCTGGTCCATGGGGTCACGAAGAGTCGGACACAATTAAACAACAACAGACCACATGAAAAGAACGTGAAAGCAAGTATTCCAGAAAAGGAAGTTGCATTTATGTGTTGGAAAACTATTCATTGTGTAGAGCAGTGGTTCTTAACCTTTGTTACTCAGGTGTTTTTGAACTGCAACTCCCAGAAACCCCAGCCAGCAGAGCTGATGGTGAAGGCTTCTGGGAGTTGCAGTCCAAAAACATTTGAGTAACAAAGGTTATGAACCAGTGGTGTAGAGTATGTAAGCTTGGTATGTGTAGAAAGAGTCCAAAAACATCTGAGTAACAAAGGTTAAGAACCAGTGGTGTAGAGTACGTAAGCTTGGTATGTGTAGAAAGAGCATATACTGCATATAAAACACAGCATGGAACACTGAATTGTGAAATCATAGTGCAACAGTAGACAATCAGAGCACAGCAGGAGGCCAGAACAGAAATATGAAAATTTTCCTCATAATTACCATATTGAAATCTTGTTCTTAAGAATTTATAAACCTCAGAATTTAACAAATCATCATATTAGCTTCCAAGCATAAAAATTTACTCAAGTGTAATTAAAGAAAGGTATAACCGAAAGTTATGCAAATGATCTATAGTACCAGAAGATACAATAGAAAACAAACAACATTTTAATTCTTTTTTTCCTTAGTTCTTTTTCAGCTTTTAGAAATAAGAATATAATTATTATATATTAACATTCATTTAATTCTTAAGCTTCTTGCCCCAACCTACATCAACTTGCTAGTCTGCAAAGTCATCCATCCTTTTTAATCATTATTTTATCCCACCTGGATAGAGACAGAACAATAATGCTCATTTCATTATCCGCTTTGTGGTGGGGGGGGACACTATACACA